AAGGTCTGAAGGGGTCCTGTACTGGTCATTATTTATGCCAATAGGGGCAGAGCCCTGTTTGTTTGTTTTTTAAAGCTCCCATGTGAATTGCTGCCAGGAAGTTGCATGTCCCCATCAGATGCTACCTACTTCCGCTGTGATTATAGGATTGCTCCATAGGGATTTCAGTGCATATGTAGTGGTGACTGATACAAAAGAGATGGCTACATATAAGATTAGAGTGGCTCTTTGCTCCAAAACTCAATGAACCCTTGTATTCCAAGTGTGCCAGCGGAAGGCATGGTTATTCCAGGTTCACTTTTCACACTGAACTTTAATTTTAGACATTTACTCTAAATAACCAGTAGTGTGCCATTAAAAATCAACAATTTTAAAACAGCTTGTAGTTTTCTCTTGCTGTAGTAGGTACTATTTTCTGATTATAACACCTTCTCCACAGGAGAGGATATAAACTTGTGGAGATTGACAAGTATAATATTTTATATCAGGACATACTGACTTTTAAAAAAATGTTGGGCAACAAAACAAAAGAAACCAGAACCTATAAAAGCCCAGTGATGGATTTCTTCCCATGGGAGGGCGGGAGTGGTATTTATAACCTCTGCAATAGGAGGATAGATATAAGGTAGTTTTTTTTTTGTTGCTTTAGTTTTTATATCAGGAAGCTCCAGTTCAAATAGGTAAAGTCTCTGGATCGTTCGTTAGACAGAATATTGGTTAAGCTGTCTATCTTTGGAATATTCAGAAAATATCTTGGTAAACAAGGATATTAAAGTTATTCTGGCAGGCTGATGTGACTGGTGGATTAATTTAGGAATTGTGCATTTCTCTAGAAATAATAAAGGCTGAGATTTGTGAGGTGAGTTTATTTTTGCTCTTTTGCTGTTCATGAAATATGTAATATAAATGATATATAAATCATTATATAAATGATATATAAACATGTAAATACATGAGAGAGACTACATTGTCATTCATGCTAATAACTGGTTTAATTTTAAAAATATATTTTTGTTTGGTTGTGTAGAATGGCTCCTGTCCTTTGTCTCACAAAATGTGTTTGTGAAATAACCACCACAGGAGGGTTTTAAATCTGAAACAGAATCAAGCATGCAGCTTTGAAAAAGTGTGGTCAATAAATTCAGTTTCGGCTAGAACTAATATGAAACTCCTGGAAACTATAGGGCATGGTGAAGAATAATTATCATGGTACATTAGAGCTTCTATCTTCCTGTTTCTCAAATCATTCTTGAATAATATGCTGAATGAAAAAGCATGTTTAATAAACTAATTCAAAAAGACATAATTGAGTGTGCATTTTAAAAGAATTTGTCTGGCCTTTTAGTACATTTCAGTACATTTGTATATGTGAACCACAATATTTTTGTTTCATTTGAAGTTAAAATTTCATTACTTTAAATTTTGAATCCTCCCATCTTATGTCTTTCCATTTTTTAATTAACATTTTTTCTTAATATTTACATTTCTGCATGCAAACATGCTCCCATAGTTTCCCTTAACCATTTCCAACCACACTGGTTTACTTCCCCCTTTCCTCCCTTCCACATGCACTGTTTTAAAATAATATAATATATATAAATAAATGGAATAAAATAAGTGAACAAATTAAAAAGAAAAAAAGTATATCCAATATCTAGAAATGAACATCATAAAATATTCCTGTTATGGCTAAACATTGAAATATTTCAAGCAACCTGTCCTTTCAATTTGAAGGAGGGTCTCTCCTCCCCTAAAAATGAAATATCTTGTAGGTCCACATTTAATTTCCTACCAGTCCTTCATAGTGGTGAACTTAGAATCTTCCACTTTGAATCTCTTTCAAGTTAACTGGTAATTTCCATTAAATATACTGTATAACTCCTCAATTAATTGTGATTTACAAGTTACATTGGTTTCACTGTCAGGTCACAACTACCTTGGACCCTGTCTTTATTACAGCTTAGCACTCTAGGACAGGGGTAGGCAACCTAAGGCCCGGGGGCCGGATGCGGCCCCCTGAGGCCTTTGGACCGGCCCCAGGCCAGTCCTGCCGCCACTGCCGCTGCCCACCATAATGATATTGATTATTGTTGTTATTACTTGTTCTTGGGGTTTTCTTGGCAAAATCTCCACAGGGGTTTTGCCATGGTTTTTCTGGGGCTGAAAGAGTGTGCATGCATATTTTTATTTATTTTTTTAATTTTTAAATATTTATTTATTAATTAATTTATTTATTAATGGTGCTTCGGCCCCCCAATTGTCTGAGGGACAGCAACCCGGCCCCCGGCTCAAAAAGGTTGCCTACCCCTGCTCTAGGATGACTATAAATAATTCTGGTAAGTTTTGGTTGATACCTGCAGTAGTCATGATTTATCTTAGGGACCGTCTC